GATAACAACGCTTATGATACTTTTAAAATAATAGTTGATGAAACCTTCTCTGATGGTGTTAACTGGGGCAGGATTGTAGCGCTTTTAGGCTTCGCTGGATGCTTTGTGGTATATTGTTTCGTACATAATAAAAGCCATTTGGCGGATAATGTTGTTGAATGGGTTACCTCATATATCGACACTAACTTACAAGAATGGTTGACGTCTAATGATAAATGGGTAAGAATAGTTTCTATTTGCATACATCATAATATCAAATTTATATCACCTGTTAAGAAGAATCTAAATCGGTATATTGACTTGTTTTACCTGATACATTTGAACAACAGAATATTGATTAATTCAAATTTCTGTGCTGTGTTTTCATTAGAATGCATATTGCGTTTAGGATAATTGTTATGTATGCTACAGCTATATTTTATCTCTATCATCTTTTATCACCCCTCTCCCCGTGACTTTAAAGTATACTGATTACACATCTTCAAGATAGAGAAATTAAGAAATTGAGTCTCTCTTATTTTTATCTTCTACAGCAAGGTCTGGTTGAGTTTTATTCACGCCGCACTGAAAGTCAGAGAGATTGGGCATCTTTTAAAACATTAATTAAATGGTCTGTGGTAGGACTTGGTGCAATCACACTGGTAGCATTTCTCGCACACAAAAAAAATCATAAAGTTTAATCATTTGTTATGGTGACTGTTACAATGAAGACATACATAAAATTATAGCACATTTCTACTCTTAAGTCGTTGAATAAAGCCAAACATTTGTAGCGTTATACATTTTATGGTGTTTTTTTTTCTTCTCCTCCGCCCTCCCCGTACCCATCCCAACCCTTATGTCGGATGTTGCGGTGATGTAAATCTGTTGGTTTTTTTTTCCATGTGTTCCATGCATTAAATATTAAACACTATACATCTATACTCAATACAAGTTATACTTCATGCACAATTAACAAACACAATTAATCACAAAAGGCGATTTAAAATATATTTTAAATTTTATTTATTAAAAACAACCCCATTAACATACAGTCATAAAAATGTGTTATTTATATATCTACATTAGTATAAGGTGTCGTTAAAGTCATGGTTAAATTTATAAATGTCAAAACATTATATGTTTAGGGGAGATGTTGTCACATTGTCTGACTGTACTTGTCTTTTAATATAAATGTAAGAAAGTGCGTTTCTGTATTGCGTGTATGTATAAATCCCTGTGTTGAATGCCCTGAAACCTGTATTTGTTACATCACCCGGTTCCTTTATCGTGAGGACTAGTATAAATGACTATTTGTCTAGTGTGTTGTGGTTTAAGGATTAATAAAATCGGGATGTTTGTGAGAGGTCATCCTATGGGAAATTCATTGAGGTGATATAGATAGAATGTGGTGGCTGGAATTATCTCAACGGCGTATTTCGTATTGGGTCTATTGTGTTGTGCGTAATTTAGAATGTCTGATGTGTTTAAGTGTTCTAAAAAATCTTTAAAATCTACTCTATTGTTAATTAATTTAGGAAGCTCTAAGACGCATGCATTGTTGTTACTTGAGTGAAAAAACCTATATTCTCCTGTTTCTTTATGTTTTAAAATGGTATGGTGACTATAATTTATTTTGAACCGCTTAGTTTGTGTGTTAAATATGGTATCTACAAGTTTTGTATCCCAATCTATTGGAATAGTGTGTAGTGGGTTGTGAAAAAAATTGAATCTGGATAAATGTTTGCCTGTAGTTGCGTGTGTCTGTATGGAGTGCCAATTGTCAATGTATATGTTTTGTAATTCGCTGTTTAGGTTATAAAGGGTGTCAATTTCGTCTAACGGTAAGTCTAAGTCGTTCACGTCCTCTAAATGTAGGTCTACCACAGCTCCCCTTAGGTCATCTACAGGTATAGCGTCGGTGTTTAAATTAACGTTACTGTCGTTGTGAGATGTCTTTAGGCGTTTGTTTGTTGTGTCGTCATAGGTCCTTTGTCTCTTTAATTGTATAGGTAGGTTGTCTGTTTGTCTGTCGTTTGCTAATGTAGGTTGTTCAGTTAGTCTGTCAGATGTTAATGTCGGTTGTTCGGTTTGTCTGTCGGATGCTGATGGGGCATCGGTTGGTGTAAGTAGGTTGGTGTGCACTATCCTATAGTGTCTCGTTAAATTAAATTTTCTTGTAAATTCTTGCCAGCATTCTATACATCGATGCCTTTCTCGGCCGTGTACAGTCTTGCAATGTTGTGTCAAATTTTTTTTACGGCTGAATGTACGTTCACATATGTCACATGTGTATCGGGCCATAGCTGGGTAGCTGGATGTGGTTGGGTCGGCTGGATGGGTCTGCTGTACAAAAAAAAAATTAAGACGAATACATTTGATTATTTATTTAAAAAATAAATAAGCTTTAATTAAAGGGTATAAGGCAGTATAAGCGTCTTTTTTATTAGTGGTCTAGTGGGTGGGTCGATAAAAATTAAAGTAAATACATTTGAAACTTATTTAAAACATAAATAAGATAATTAAAGGGTAAAATCGTATTTTTATTAGCGGGGTTAAATCCATTAAAATATTTACCTTACCTTTTAATGTCTAACTAGGTGTGAGATCGGTCCGTAGCAGGGTAGTTGTATGTGACTGGGCAGCTGGATGTGTTTGGGTCGGCTGGGTGGCTAGCTCAATGCCTTGTTCAGTAATTGGGTTGGCTGTACAATAAAAATAAAAGCGAATATATTTGACTACTTATTTAAAAAATAAATAAGACTTAATTAAAGGGTCTAAGCTTATTTTTTTTTATTAGTGGACTAGTGGGTGGGTCGGGTGTACAATAAGATTTAATTAAATGGTATATCTTTATTAATGGCGTTAACTCCCTTAAAAGCAAAAATAAAATTATAAATAAAAAAATAAATAAATAATATTAACCTTACCTTAGTGCTGGATGATGTGAATGTCTAAGTTGGAGTGAGCTCGGTCCGTAGCAGGGTAGCTGGTTGTGTAGCTAGTTAGGTGGACGTGTAGATGCTTTGCAGTGCTGAGCAGTAGTGTTTAAAGTAAAACTTCGTCTGAATTTATACTTTATGAACGCGTGGGGAAAAAAATCCTGACTATCATTCTATAATTGGTCTAATTATGCAAGCGTGCGTCACGCAGATTTGGAGGTCATTGAACCCCACTACCATCCTTGGTTTACAAAGAAAAAATACCCCGTCACCTGCTTGATACATAAAGTCAAAAAGCTAATTTCTTTCAATTCACGGCTCGCTTCGCGGAAAAGATGCATCACTAATTATCTAGCCGTCCATGAGCGTTGGGGTATAGCTATTGTTCTATACTCACACGCCACGATTGCGCACAATAGTTTTGTCCTCATGGAATACAAAAGGGTGGAGTTTTAGGGCCATTGTGTTCCTTAAAAATCAATAAAGTGAATGACGTGAGTGTGTTTTGAATATATTTTATCGGATTACCACCGTGTCAACTCACCATTTTGTCATTACTTTAAAAGTCGTTACATAATTTTTAAAGGGAGAGCATTTGATATACAAGGATGTCTTTATTAAATAATTCTATTTGTTCTGTTGACTGTTGTATAACTATTAAAAAATAAAACAAAAAATAGAAATAAAAATATAATAAAAAAAGATAAAAATACTGATGATGAAATATTCTTAAAAAAAAAAAAAAGTTTACTCTTTAGACCAAATGATATATGAAGTGGTAGTGTGGTCAGCATTATACGCAGCCGCCTTTACTTTTCCTAACGTGAATTGGGACTCATCAGAGCTGTGTGAACTCAGGGCTACTATCTTGAAACAGGATTTGAACTCTAGACTTTCGGATTAGTGGTCTAACTGTACCATCACTTTATAAAAGATAATCCTGAAATGGGCAAGGAACTAACCTAACACGACCTTACAGCAATAGCGCAGACTATGGTCTAATTATTCTAAAGACGCTAATTATTCAATGTCTTCATTAATGATTGATCAAGTCAATATTATGTTTCATCAAGAAGAAAGAACACGCCGACCACAAAAAAATAAATAAATAATAATAATCTTTTTTCAAACAGCTTTTATCAAATCAAAATATAACAACTCTACGAAGCAGACAAGCCAAGAGAAGACAACCACAACACATAAAGCACTCACACTAAACTTAATTAACACGACTCGGACTAGACAAAGAACACAGGACAAAAAAAACCAGACTGGTAGTAACGTTTATATATAGATCAACTGGATGAGAAATAAGGAATATAGTCAAGCCTTGCTAAATAAAATAATTATTTTTAAAAATTTTCTTTTAAAGATAATTGATTAATATACTCTTTGATGTCTAGCCCTGGTCACTATTTTAGAAAGAAATCGTCACTAGGAATACTTAAAAAGTCGTGATTACACCATAGCCTCAACTATGTACATAAACGTACAATAAACCAACAACCTAGCACTTAAATATAATACTTCTAATATACTAAATATTAAAAAACCACCAATCAAACACCCACAACAAATAAAGCAATCACACTTAACATAATTAACACGACTAGACAAAAAACAGAGGACAAAAACAGATTGATAGTAAATAGTAACGGCTATTTATAGATCAACTGTATGAGAAATATGGCCTATTGTAAAGCAAGCCTAGCTGAATAAATTATTTTTAATGACTATTTAAACATATCTTTCAAAAAAAAAATCGATACTCTATTGTTTGTCGTCGCGGCCGTAAAGGAGCGTCACGGAAGACAATAGGAGGAGGGGAACACCTGCTCCAGCTGGAGTATTTTACTATATAACATGTCTGCTCTGGCTGCTCAATATTTTACTATATAAACATGTCTGCACAAAATCGACTCAAAAGGGACCTACTATACTACTCACACATGTTATAAAATATTCAATTTTGGTTGAAGAATTTGGTTTCTGGCAACAAAAATTTAAATCCATTTGGAACCAGCTTTTCATGTCTATTGTGGTGATGGCTATGTTGTAACAAGAAATTTTCTTTTTAAGTTCTGCACCGTGGACATCGGACAAGATGGCTGCCAGACAACAAGCCCCGCCCAGTGTTTCTGCGAGAAATTCCAGGCAGACGTCTACACCGTCAGGTACCAGAGCGCCGCTTCTGCCAAGTTTTCAAACGGTCAAGTTCGTCTGGCGTGGAGTGATACATCCTACAACAGCGTCTACAGCGCCTCGCAGACTTTCTCTGATGTTAAAGGTAGAACTTCCTGTACTACGTTTACATTTTTAGTGACTGGGATACAAACGATCGCGCAATGGTTTGACGTACTTTGACTTAGTCCTCTTTGCTCCTTATGGAACATAGGGCCTCCACTAATTCCTTCTATTTCTTCCTATCCCCGGCTATTAATTTTGTCATCTCCCAAGACATCCCTGTTGGCTTCAGTTCTTCAAGAAGACTCCGCCTCCAGGTCTGTCTTGGGGGCCCTCTCTTCCGCTTTCCCTGGGGGTTCCACTCAAGGGCCTGGCTTGTAACATTTGAGTGAGCCTTTCGCAGTGTGTGTCCCACCCAGCGCCACATCCTCCTTTTTATTTGCACACCTGCCTTGCTTTCCTCCATAGTTCTATGTTCGGCGCTGTGGTTTACACAGATATTATATCCCTTGTTTAATAAATTATAATTCAGTCTAACCACTGTTACTGCGTGGCCTAAGCGTTAGAGCGCTAGACTGCTAACATGAGAGTCTTGTGTTCGAATCCGGGTCCAAGTCGCAGAATGTACCTGAGTCCACCCTGTTAACTCATGTTAGGGAGAGTAAATGCGGCTGGGCAAAATCCTGGCCATACCATCCCTTCATATGCCGAGGTCAAGAAACATACAAACTTTATCTTCGTTATTGATTACACGACTTTACTAACCTTTTAACCCCTGTTTTATTTATATTCAATCAGTTATGAGCCCTATAATTTCATTAAAAAGAGAATTATCTCCCCTGTATTATGTTGATTAAGGATATTATCACCCTATGTCCCATGAATTAAAAAGCCTATGTTATATTGATTATAAAAATCATCGCCTCTGCATTGTTTTTTTTTTTAGAATCTATTGACCTTGCAACTTTTTTAGTCCCCAGTAATTATCAGCTTTGCAATTATTATTTTTTCCACAAATTATCTCCCTTGTATTTATTGTTGATTTCCAGAGATTATCGCTCCTGCTATGACTATAACCCCCAACTTTGACACCAGTGAGTGTATCGTGGCTGGCAGAGATGTGTTCACCTACACAGGCAGCATGGACGTCAAGAACACCAACACACCTTCACAGACTGTCATCTTTAAAGTCAAATCCGCCGGCTCGGATTATTTTTCACCCGTTAGTGACACTTATCCCAGACACGTTAGTGGCACTTATCCCAGACCCGTTAGTGATACTTATCCCAGACCCGTTAGTGGCACTTATCCCAGACCCGTTAGTGACACTTATCCCAGACCCGTTAGTGACACTTATCCCAGACCCGTTAGTGCTACTTATCCCAGACTTGTTAGTGTCACTTATCCCAGACCCGTTAGTGGCACTTATCCCAGACCCGTTAGTGGCACTTATCCCAGACCCGTTAGTGGCACTTATCCCAGGCCCGTTAGTGGCACTTATCCCAGACCCGTTAGTGTCACTTATCCAAGACCCGTTAGTGGCACTTATCCCAGACCCGTTAGTGGCACTTATCCCAGACCCGTTAGTGACACTTATCCCAGACCCGTTAGTGGCACTTATCCCAGACCCGTTAGTGGCACTTATCCCAGACCCGTTAGTGGCACTTATCCCAGACCCGTTACTGACACTCATCCCAGACCCGTTAGTGACACTTATCCCAGACCCGTTAGTGGCACTTATCCCAGACCCGTTAGTGTCACTTATCCCAGACCCATTAGTGGCACTTATCCCAGACCCGTTAGTGACACTTATCCCAGACCCGTTAGTGTCACTTATCCCAGACCCGTTAGTGTCACTTATCCCAGACCCGTTAGTGGCACTTATCCCTGACCAGTTAGTGGCACTTATCCCAGACCCGTTAGTTGCACTTATCCCAGACCCGTTAGTGGCACTTATCCCAGACACTTAGTGGCACTTATCCCAGACCCGTTAGTGACACTTATCCCAGACCCGTTAGTGGCACTTATCCCAGACCCGTTGGTGACACTTATCCCAGACCCGTTAGTGACATTTATCCCAGACCCGTTAGTGACACTTATCCCAGACCCGTGAGTGGCACTTATCCCAGACCCGTTAGTGGCACTTATCCCAGGCCCGTTAGTGGCACTTATCCCAGACACTTAGTGTCACTTATCCCAGACCCGTTAGTGACACTTATCCCAGACCCGTGTGGCACTTATCCCAGACCCCGGTTATGTCAGAAATTTACCTCGCTTGTGTAAAAATAAGTATACTTTATCCCAACTAAAAATCATATGAACGTGTCAGTGGTCATCATGAAGGTCACACACATTCAAATCATATATAGGTGACTCTCATCTCATCTACACATCATTTGATTTTATCCCACCTAACAATCATCTAAACGAGTAAGTGGTCATTGTGAAGGTCACTTACACATTCAAATGACGTATAGGTGACCCTCATCCAAACTATACATCATTTGAATGTGTAAGTGACCCTGAACTCACTTTTACATCATTTGAATGTGTAAGTGACCCTAAACCCACCTATACATCATTTGAATGTGTAAGTGACCCTAAACCCACCTATACATCATTTGAATGTGTAAGTGACCCTAAACCCACCTATACATCATTTGAATGTGTAAGTGACCCTCATCCCACCCGCACATGATGAATCCAGCAGCAAAACGTATATACCTTCTACTATTTACTGTACACCTAAATAGTAAATAATTCTTTCCCTCCCATTTTCCTTTTTTTCTGTCAATCTCTCTCTTTATATATACCTCTCTTTATATATATATATATATATATATATATATATATATATATATATATATATATATATATATACATATATATATATATATATATATATATATATATATATATATATATATATATATATATATATATATATATATATATATATATCTTTCTCTCTCTGCCTCTATCGGTTCTTCTAAAGCAAATTAGTTTGTGTTTGTGTTAAATATGCGTGGGTTTGTGTTCGTGTTTTTATTCAGCGAAAGTCTCTGCTTGTATAAATTCAGTGTTGCTTTTATTTTTGTTTTATATAACAAGCAACTGTATACATGTTCTACTTCAATTTGTATAATTGTAATATTTTCTGTAAGTATACAGTTTTTTTTTAGGTTAGCCAACCCCCACCCCTCACGTGATAACCTCCAATCCACCACCCACAGGTATGCAGCATAGACATGACCTCCATCACCTGCAACGATCAACCAAACGTCATGTGCCACTGCCAGTCCTATGTGAACAACGTCTACAGCTTCGTGTTTACGGGTGTTGTTTCACTAGCATACAACGAGGGCGAGGTCCGTCTAGCTTGGCAGGGCGTGTCATCAGCGTTTCATTACAGCCCAAGTTCACAGTTTCCTGAAATCAAAGGTAAGAATAATTAAAAGATTATTCTTAACAAATTATTAACATGTATTCTACTTTTTTTTTTATAAATAGTCTACTTGAAATACAATGGTAGTATTACTCGTGGGAAAATTAATTAAGAGGAACTGAGGTGGGCCGGTTTATCAAAGTTTGTGTTAAGTTATATTAAAATATACGAGAATTTGGTCGAATCGTAGAGAATACTACTATTAACGTGAAAGTCTAAAGTTCGAATCCGGATTCAAGTGAGTGAAACGTCCACACATTGACTCCGATTTCAGTCTACTTTTTGGAGGGGTAAGTAAAGGCGGCTGAGCATAGCGCAGACCACACCATCCATGTAGTAGGCCTATGTGCCGAGGTTAGGAAACATGCACTCTACTTCAATTGATTGCTTGGTCTAAAGGGGAATCTGTCTAAGCTTAACTACTTATTTAATGGAACTTAAGCAATATATATGTTTTTTAATTGGGGGGGGGGAGGTACACAATGACAACAACCCAAAAATCTGGTAACATATATATATATATATATATATATATATATATATATATATATATATATATATATATATATATATATATATATATATATATATAAATGTGTGTATGTGTGTGTGTTTGTATATATATATATATATATATATATATATATATATATATATATATATATATATATATATATATATATATATATATATATATATATATATATATATATATATATATATATATATATATATATATTCACGTATGATTCTATTCAAAGAAATTAACATTTTTAAAATTATGTTTTTCCACCAATCAGAACTGAAGTGCCATGACCTGAGCCTGAAATACCAGGACCCACCAGATGACGGATGTATCGTCGCAGACATGAATTTCTTCACTTTGGTCGGCACTCTGGACATCAGCGGTTCCAGCATTGACGTCACCACCCAGACGGTCAACTTCCAGTTTAAACTGGCCGGTGCTGAAGACTTCCAGACGGTAAGATTTTCTCCAAGAGTAAGATTATTCCATTATTTTAATGATGTCATTATTATTATTATTATTATTTTTATTATTATTATTATTATTATTATTATTATTATTATTATTTTATTATTATTATTATTATTATTATAATTATTATTATTATTATTATTATTATTATTATTATTATTATTATTATTATTATTATTATTATTATTATTATTATTATTATTATTATTATTATTATTATTATTATTATTATTATTATTATTATTATTATTGTTATTGTTATTATTATTATTATTATTATTATTATTATTATTATTATTATTATTATTATTATTATTCATCTTTTCCCGTTCGTGCCGATCGATATGTGAATATAGAACGGGGTCAATCTTACATAATAAAGTGGATTTATCAACAATGCCGATTTGATATAAATGACTAAACAGGATCGCATAGACTGAATCCCTGGTTTATTGCGCTGGTTAAATAGACACGGACGACTACTCTTACAACGTATACAAAGACTTGACAACATTTACGACACACAAATACCTCTATATCCTAGAACAACATAGACTGCCCTAAACTAATCTCCCAGTAACAAGATCCTACTCTCAAACATCCCATCCTTACGTATCTCTTCACACAGCCACGATCTTTTATTAATATAAAACAGTCTACAACACACATACTCTTATACCCTTGCAATACACTAGGAAAACATTCATAACAATGCCCAAAACAAATGGGGGTGATGAAGTTGAGTTGATCTGTTTTAGATATGAAGGATAATGTGGTCAGCACTATGCCCAGCCGCCTTTGCTTTTCCTAACACGACGGATTCGAACTCGAGACTCCCCCGTTAGCAGTCTCTCTACCACTAAGCCATGCCGCCCACTGGTCTATTATTACTTAAACCTATTCGATTAAAGATACAGTTCTTTTAAATCAGTGGTTCCCAACCTTTTTCGAGTGGCGACCCCCTTTTATAAAAAGTAAGTGACCCGCGACCCCCATAGAATTAAAAAGCCGAATTTAGTATGGAAATTAATAAGCACTAAAATAAGATTGTCTAGTAGACTTTCAATATGAACTACTCTTGATAGCTATTTTAATAGCATGAGTAAAATTGCATACTATTCACTAAGCCTTCGTGGTTAAGTTTTTAATTTAAAAAATTTTTTGTTAACGCCAACTTATGTCATTATAATTATCTTAATTTTATTTTTAATCGAAGAATAGTGTTGAAAATATATTCTCGAAAAGTCAATCAATTTTACGTTTGGGTATGAATGGTGAATACTACACCAAAATTGTGTCTGCAGTTTTTCATCTTACTCGGAATTATTCTGCAAATCAAAGAATTCATCTTGTAATTCATCGGGAATGCTGGCAACATCAAGGGAAGAAGAGAATGGGTAATACGTAAATGCAGATTCTTCATTTATCAGCTCAGAGAAATAGCAATGCAGTTCGTTTTCAAGAGATTCAAGATGCCCAGAAATCGCTTCTTTCAAAATTTTAATTATCTCACAATCAGATTCATCTACCACACCGCAGAGTTTCTCAAATTTACAATATTTCCAAGATTTATTTTCTTTACCGATTTTGCAGCTTTGATAAAAATGTCCCAAGATTATCATGGAAAGTTATAATATTCGTTAATTTTCCCTGAAGCTTCAGGTTAAGCTTATCTTGATGTTCGAACATATCTGCTAGGTATGATACTCTATCCAACAACTCTATGTCGTTTTAAGTATACCAAAACGTCTTGTTTCCTTTGCACTTCCAAGAACAATTTGATTTCAGATTTCAATTCAAAAACACAATTTACAACATTTTGTTTGAGAGCCAGCGTACTGTAGTGTATAAGAGCAGAACCTCGTGATCTATATAATAATGTTTTTGCTCAGTTCTTTGAAGGCTCCAGATTTTATATAATTTACGACTTATACTAGCAATGGACTCTTGATGTCGATTGGTTAGGGCAGTGGTTAGAGAGCTAAATCTTTTCTGTTTTCTGAAATCCCGATTTTGAGCTAAACATAGATGGCACACTATCCGTACAAACCCCCGAAGCCGTTGTAACCCATTTTAATCATCCAGTTTCAAAAAAGGTATTTATTTTCTCCATGCTATCTTCACAAAAGAGTAACTCTTCTTTGCTATCATACGCAGGAATATAGACACAGACCAGCAACTGCGAACACGAACTCACGTCTGTTGATTTATCAACTTGAAAAGCAAACAATGGTGAAATCTTAATTTCGATAACAATGTGTTATTTAACATTTACGTACATGCAGCGTTTGATGAGATTTTCTCCTATTGTTTTTTTTTTTTTGCTTGGCATTTTCTATCGCGACTTCATTTGATGCTTGCACTAATACTGGTGAAAACTTCTTGTTCGATTAAGTCTCTGACGTTTGCAACTAGCTTCTTACCGACGAAAGAACTCCATATATTTTTTGGTGTGTTCCGAATGACTCGTCTCAAATGGCGTTTTAGTTTTGAAGATTTCATAGATTCGTGACTGAGAACAGCTTTGTACAGTGCGCTTTGTTTCTTCTCTATTACATTTCCAGTGATGTTAATGAAGCCGAATTTCAAAAATTCTTCTAAATATTTATGTTTTGTTTCAAATTACTAAGGTTTAGTATACCAGTTGGCGACCCCCCAGAAAGACCCTCGCGACCCCCAGGGGGGTCGCGACCCCCAGGTTGGGAACCCGTGTTTTAAATGGTACGCGTCTCTAAAGAATACATCTACTTCATAAAGATGTACTGCTAACTCTTGTTTGGCCGTAGGTACTTTGCTCATGCTTTACAATCTAGATCTAGATCTGTACAATGTATGGTAAAATAAAATCACTTAAATGTTTTCCAACGTTGAAGAATTTATCTATTTTCATTTTTTTACTTTCTCGTGTATACAACGTATATAGAAAGTCTTGTAATCGTGCAAAAAAAAATTGAGATTTTTGCAAATCTCGACGTTTTACACCTCCCTGAGTTGGAAAAACATAGTTTGGCAATCTTGTCCGTATGTCTGTGTGTGTGTATGTGTGTGTGTGTGTGTGTGTGTGTAAACACGATAACTTGAGTACCGTTACAGCTAGGTTGATGAAATTTCATATATAAGTATTTTATCAACATCGTTGATCCGTATACTTTTGAGCGATTTCCGATAACCGGAAGTGGTACTTTTTCTACTTTGAATTTTTCAAAAGCCTATAACTTGAGTACTATTTTCAGATAGATAAATGAAATTTCACATGTAAGTAAAAGATCTAATTCTCTACCTTCTGTTAAATTTTGAGTAATTTCCGTTGAACGGAAAGACTATTTTATGCTATTTCCGATTTGTCAAAGAAACTAATGTAAATTTATTAAGTACTAATAATATTGCGCACTATTATGCACATGTTATGTGGCGTTCACTTGGTGTGCAATTCTTTTTCCACGAGATTTTATTCTAATTGTAAAAAGTTTAAGTATTTAAAATGGATTAAAAATCATGTCTATATCCCGAGTTCCCATCCCCTGTTGTTTTATATGAGAATATTCGAGAAAGTTTAGGGGAGATCACTCCAGGTTTTTTTTCTTTCATGAAATGTAATAAAGTCGCACCTGTCTCTAAATAATCACAAGTTTTCACCCAACATTTCTGTAGCCTAGCCCAATCTATCCACAGTGACACAGTAACCTGATAATCTGTTTTTACGTAGGTGGTCATTATTCAAAGAACAGATCAATCACATTTCTATCAAGCGGTTAATCAAAAGTTAAAAATAAATTTGTTTCTTTTTTTTTCTTCTTTTTTTTCCGCCTCAGACATGTAATTACAGTGTCAGTTTGTCTTGCATGTTAGCTTTAGTATTACAGTTTTCATCATCGGCTTGTGATCACTGATACAGATTTACAATAGTAATATTTCTTTCTTACTTGTAGCCTACTTTCATTCATTTAAGATGGTTTACTCATGCATAGATCTTAAACAAAACATCGTATTACAATTTATTTTTTAAAAAAAACACCTGAAAATGCAAATGTGTAATTAAATGATGGTTCAAGGGATTTTTTTTTCCATCGACGTGGTGGGCTGAGGGGATTTGGGTTTTTAATTAGAGCTTAAACAAATTTGGGACCACAGAAATAAAAAACTAAAAATTTTAAGCGATTGGAATGTTATGTTGAATGAGACATATCTAATCAAACATTCTAAAAGTTGAACCCTTGAAATATAGAGTTATTAAAGCTCAACTATCTTCCTCCAAAATCAACATGTTTTACATTCCACATCTTTAAAGTGTATGTGAAAACAAAAAGCAGTTAAATTGTATACAACAGTGCAATTTCTTTAATAGTATCCATTCGCTTTAGGCTATAAATGTTAACAAAATTCACTTCAACTACATTCTGCAAAAATATTTCATTTCCAAAGGCAGGGTTTTGTCATACGTTTCATTACGCATTAGTTCAAGATATTTTTTTGCTTACTCCCCTTCTCCCCCTCTCCTTTTAAAATGACGACACACTGTTAAGAAGCCTACATTTTAACTCATTATTAAATTATCCCGATAATCATACTTTTAAAAGAAATCAATTTGTTCGTTAATTAATATTTTTTTTAAAAATCCATCTAATTAAGCTGTCAAATTTCTAAACTCCACCCAACATCTCCTTCCATATTCTTTCATCCCTGTACACGCAATGTCTATATAAACCGAACACACGAATACAAATAATATCTACTCCACAGAGTCGTAGCTAAGGGAGGGCGGGTGGGGGCGTCCGTCCTGAGTGGGGGGGGGGGATGGCAACGGGTGGAGCCGGACGTTTTCCCCAGACACTTGCCCGAAGGCCGATTTCCCGAATAGACACTTGCCCGAATGCGACAAATTCCCGAATGGACACTTGCCCGAATGCGACAAATGCCCGAATGGACACTTGCCCGAATGCGACAAATGCCCGAATGCGACAAATGCCCGAATGCAAGTGTCCATTCTGGAAATCGGCCTTCGGGCAAACGGCATTCGGGCAAGTGCCTTTCGGGAATTTGTCGTAGACCCGGCACCAGGATAGAAAAAAAAGTTTATTTTAAACTGCATTAATGAAATATAAAATAAACTGCTACTTGGATTTTCATGCAGTTTTTAACTATTTTCTATAAGTGTTGTGCGAAACTTAAATAAAAACTGTTCAGCAACAGTGACTTGTAAAAGGTAAACTTCATGTTTTCATAGTGTGCAGGAGGGTGCCTTTTCGTAAAAATGAAAAACTATAAATAAATGGAGGGGGGTGTGCAAAGCTAATAGGATCGTCCCCGGTCGTCAGAATGAGTCGCAAGGCCTCTGCTCCATCTAATTTGTAAGGTGCATCTGGTAAAATGCCTGCATTTAAAAATTAACTGCACATTAATTAAGTATCAGATTTGCACGGTTCACGATTCAAAGTTATCCGTCCTTCCCAGATGTGCAGTGTGGAACTGATAACTGACCAGTGTCCACCTGACACGGACAGAGCCTGCTACTGCTCTGGCTTCGACAAGAACGTCTACAGCATGGTGTACACTGGTATGACAACGGTCGACTTGTCCAAGGCAGAAGTGCGCCTGAGGTGGCAGAACCACACGGACACCAAGTACAGCTCTAACGTCACATTCCCCGTGGTTAAAGGTAGAACTGTTTACCTCGGTTAAAAGTAAAAATCAGAGTTTCTTCCAGGTATCTCTTCGGGGAAGAAAGTCTACAGCACCCCCATCCCCCGAACGAAATGGAATGTATATAGAAAATATATACTTTTAACAGTGCCCCCCCCCCCATTTCAAATGCCCCATTTCCCGGAGAAAAAGCCTGGAAGAAACATTGGTAATAATATGTCTTCAATTTCAGAAAAAAAAATTATTTGGGCTAAAATATTAACTATGTAACCACATTCTATATCAACTATTTATATATTTTTTTTATTTGTTAATTTATTTGTTTCTTTTTTAACATCGTAAATTTCTTACATTTTCAACACAAAGTCGTAAAAAAAAATTAAAATGTGAATATTTAAGGTAGTTCCTCCAATACAACTAGCCCGAACAAAGTCAACTTTAGACACAGTGAACTGTAATCTTTCTATGTTTTCTTGAAGAAACCACACGAGGTTTTCGACAGAGCAGTGGCACTGGTCTACGATTACGCAAATTATCATGATGTGTTGTCAATGACATATTTTTTAAAAGTTTAGACCTATATCATGAGATCGTCACTTGCAGTGTTTCTTCCAAACTTTTTTTTCTCCGAATGGGCACTTGAAAACTTCGGGGGGTAGCAGACTAAAATTTCCGGGGGTGGTGGTAGACATTGGTAAAAGTATACATTTTCTAAATAAATTATATTTCGTTTTGAAGGGGTGGTGGTAGACGTTTTTAGGGAGCGGGGGATGGGGAGGGGGGCGGGCTTCGCCTGGAAGAAACTGGTCACTAGCGACCAGTTCTCAGCCCTGGGCGATGACGTAAAGGCTCACCGGCAGTTTCTCCATTCGACCGTTTGAATTATCGACTGTATTGATGACAAGAAATTAAATCAAATGTTAAAGAAAAAAATTCAGGCATAGACAAATAGAAATATTTAAATCAAAACTTCAACATATTTGTAGCTCACAATTTTAAAAATAATTACAATAAAGTAAATATGCAACGGTGGCCGGAAAGAACCGCAACGGAAAAAAGCGCAACGGAAAAAAGCGCAATACAAAAAGCGCAACGGAAAAAAGCGCACACGGAAAAAAGCGTAAAGAGAAAAAAGCGCACACAGAAAAAAAGCGCAAAGAGAAAAAAGCTCAAACAGAAAAAAGCGCAAAGAGAAAAAAGCGCACACAGAAAAAAGCGCAAACAGAAAAAAGCGCAAACGGAAAAAAGCGCAAACGGAAAAAAGCGCAAAGAGAAAAAAGCGCACACAGAAAAAAGCGCACACAGAAAAAAGCGCAAAGAGAAAAAAGCGCAAACAGAAAAAAGCGCAAACAGAAAAAAGCGCAAAGATAAAAAAGCGCAAAGAGAAAAAAGCGCAAACGGAAAAAAGCGCAAAGAGAAAAAAGCGCACACGGAAAAAAGCGCAAACGGAAAAAAGCGCAAACAGAAAATAGCGCAAACAGAAAAAAGCGCAAACGGAAAAAAGCGCAAACAGAAAAAGCGCACATAGAAAAAAGTGCAAACGGAAAAAGCGCAAACGGAAAAAAGCGCAAACAGAAAAATGCGCAACCAGAAAAAACACAACGAAAAATGTGCAAAAGAGAAATGTAGCACAAAGACCATATGGACTAGATGACACATATATACATGACTGTTAGGGCTGCTGTGAGAGTGTCGTGTTTGATCACGTGATCTACGACCATTTAAAGCGTACCACTACCATGTGCATTTATATCACCATAATACAGGCGATAATCGCTTTACACAATGCCTATTATTTTCTTGGTCAATAATTATTCAACTACTATTCTCGTATAAATAAACATAAAACTATCGACATTACACGAAGTATCATTCACATTCGCCCTTGTCCGAACTACCTAGCTTGCATACCATAACAACCCGTTCCTATGGCAAAACTTCACTCTCTTTCATCCGCGTCATCAAACATGCATTCGTCATATCTCTCGTAACAACATTCATTCGCACCAAAATAACAATTATGTATTTAATATTTTTTTCACATCATGACGCACCTACCTACCTACCTACTATTCACCTACCCACCTACACACTTACCTATCTACCACCTACCCACCTACCTACCTACCTAACTACCTACCTACCTACCTACCCACCTACCCACTTACCTACCTACCCACCTACCCGCCTACCCACTTACCCACCTACCTACCAAAAAAAGTATCGGCGAAGTTCGTAAGTTTCGTAAACTGTACTAGACATCTTTTTTTTTAATGAAAATTCATTGACTTCATTGACATATGTTACATATATGTTACATTTTGCGACAACCTTAATTAGTGCGTTGGGCTTGTATGAAAACTCACTTCGAACTAACTCAATTACATGCTATTTATTTTAACATTACACGGTAAGCGTCACCCAACTGTTGTGATGTGAGGTGAGGACAGGTTCGACAATAAACCAACACGAAAGTACGAAAGAGACATAGACTGCCTATTAGAGAATGGGCCCCTTAACTTTCCTAACCCTACCATTTATTATACCCTACCTAACCTCTAAATTTCCTTCGCTATATGTCACTTCCCTCCAAATCGTTCCTATTCTACAGAATTGTGTGTACTATTTATTTACATTCTTTAATCTCAATATAACTCAAATAGACTATTGTTTGAAGGGTAATGGAAAAATAAGGGACTCTTCTCTAAATCTATGCGAATACTTATATGTAACAATCCTAACCCCAACCAAAACATGTACTGAACAGCATAATGGGCTGCATGTAGCCAGAGTTTCTTCCAGGCATCTCTTTTACCGCCCCCCCCCCCCCCCCCTCCGAACGAAATGGAATTTATAAAGTAAACATACACTTTTACCAGTGTCCGCCCCCTCCCCCCCCCCAAAATGTTGACACCCCCCCCCCCCCCGAAAATTACCCCCCCCCCCCTCCCCCCCCCCCCCCTCCGGAAACAAAAGTCTGGAAGAAACACTGCATGTAGTTTATATAACAGAAGAGCTATGGTTGTTTGTATCATTTTGCATTCGTCCGGTAAACATTTCAGTAAAATACCTTAACAAACCTTCCATAACCGTTTTATAAAGAAACAAAGAGAGATGAAGTTTTATAATAACACCAGGCTTTGACTTACACCTACTCCAATGGCATCTACATTGTTAAACTGATTAACTATGTAATGTAGGGCTGAACAGGATCAATGAACTAACCTTACGAAACCAGTTTGAAATTTCGAGTTTTGAAACACAGTTACTAAGCTAGAAACATGGAAATGTGCATAATCTATATCATCTACACAAATACACAACCACCTGCCTAACTACCCACCCACACATCTACCCACATACCCACCTAACAACCTACCCACCCACTTACCCACCTACCCATAAATAAATATATATATATATATATATATATATATATATATATATATATATATATATATATATATATATATATATATATATATACATCAGGGTATACAAATGATTCGACAGGATGACATTAATTTTACTATTTATTGCAATACAAAGGACGACTTGAACGAACAATTCTAAGACTGTACTACATTACGACATCCCTCTAACACAACAAGAACAAGAGTACTTTTCAACTTCTTTCCCCGACAACAACGAACCTACACTAAAACGTCACATTCTTGCGAACCGCGTAACTAATCAATGTGTCATTAACTTTCGCGCTAATATTCGTTCACACCAATCCTTGTTTAAACATACATAAAATATATGATATATGAGCTATATATATATATATATATATATATATATATATATATGAAGTAATTAGGTAGGTGGGTATGCAGGTGGGTTGGTAGGTAGGTAGGCAGGCAGGCAGGCAGGTAGGCAGGCAGGCAGGTAGGCAGACAGGTAGGTAGGTAGGTAGGTAGGTAGGTAGGTAGGCAGGTAGGTAGGTTGGGAGGTAGGGATGTAGGTTGGTAGGTAGGTAGGTGCGTCATTATGAAATAATAGTAAATACATCATTGTTATGATGAGTGTTTCATCAGGTATTTTGAGAAAAAAATATTAAATACATAATAGTTATTTTGGTGCGAATGAATGTTGTTACGAGAGATATGACGAATGCATGTTTGATGACGCGGATGAAACAGAGTGAAGTTTTGCCATTGGAACGGGTTGTTATGGTATGCAAGCTAGGTAGTTCGGACTACGGAGAATGTGAGAGATACTTCGTGTAATGTCGATATCAAGGATAGTTTTATATTTATTTATACGAGAATAGTAGTTGAATAATTATTGACCAAGAAAATAATAGGCATTGTGTAAAGTGATTATCGCCTGTATTATGGTGATAGAAATGCACATGGTAGTGGTACGCTTTAAATGGTAGTAGATCACGTGATCAAACACGACACTCTCACAGCAGCCCTAACAGTCATGTATAAATGTGTCATCTAGTCCATATCGTCTTTGTGCTAAATTTCTTTTTTGCACATTTTTCGTTGTGTTTTTTCCTGTTTGCGCTTTTTTCCGTTTGCGCTTTTTTCTGTTTGCGCTTTTTACTATGTTCGCTTTTTTCTGTTTGCGCTTTTTTCCGTTTGCGCTTTTTTCTGTTTGAGCTTTTTTCCGTTTGCGCTTTTTTTCCGTTTGCGCTTTTTTCCGTGTGCGCTTTTTTCTTTTTGCGCTTTTTTCCGTTTGCGCTTTTTTTCTCTTTGCGCGTTTTTCCGTTTGCGCTTTTTTCTGTTTGCGCTTTTTTCTGTGTGCGCTTTTTTATCTTTGCGCTTTTTTCTGTTTGCGCTTTTTTCTCTTTGCGCTTTTTTCTGTGTGCGCTTTTTTCTCTTTGCGCTTTTTTCCGTTTGCGCTTTTTTCTGTTTGCGCTTTTTTCTGTGTGCACTTTTTTCTCTTTGCGCTTTTTTCTGTTTGCGCTTTTTTCTCTTTGCGCTTTTTCTGTGTGCGCTTTTTTCTCTTTGCGCTTTTTTCCGTGTGCGCTTTTTTCCGTTGCGCTTTTTTCCGTTGCTGTTCTTTCTTGGAACCATATGTCAGTTAAAAACAATTTACAAAAAGAAAGAAAATACAGGCTCAAATTGACAAGTTGAAAATAAAAGAAAATGTATTTTAAAATTTTGAAAAAAAAAGGTTTCTATTAAAAAGTTCTCTAATTTTATTTTTTTCTACACCATCTATTTGTGTAATGGGATGGCGAGGCCTAGAGGTAGAGAGCTAGACTGCTAGCCCGAGAGTCTCCAGTTCAAATCCGGGTTCAAATCAGTCGAACATCCATCAGTCCAGCCTTCTCTGACGGGTACCTAACTCACGTTAGGGAAATAAAGTCGGCTGGGTATAGTGCTGACCACACTATCCCTTCATATGCCGGGGTCTCTGATGCATAAAAACTCTACTTCATCTGCCCCATGTGTCTTGAGCACGGAAGGGAAATAATGATGATGCATTTGTGTAAAGAGACGGAGTTTATCAAGTTATTTTTTCATCATTCTAATGTAATTAATTAAACATATATTTTCATCAGTTGCAGATTACAAACCTGTACGTGGTTATCAATAACCAGTTCTACATCGATGTATTTGTGTACAGATATAGTTTTTTTTTAATTTATTAACATTCTAATATAATTAATTGAACAAGTATTCTTTCTCAGTTGGCCATTGTAATATCCTCGAGATTATCAACCTCTTTTAAATGACCATCGATATATTTGACAGAGATAGATAGTTTTTTTTATATATTAGGATTCTAATATAATTAATTAAACATATATTCTTCCTCAGCGGGCCATTGTAATACCCTAGAGATCACCAACCTCTACGTGATTATTAATAACCAGTTCTACATCGATGTATTTGTGTACAGAGATAGATAGTTTATATATATATATATATATATATATATATATATATATATATATATATATATATATATATATATATATATATATATATATATATATATATTAGGATTCAAATAAAATTAATTAAACCTATATTCTTCACCAGTTGGCCATTGCAATATATTAGAAATAACTAACCTCTCCGTCAGTGTCGTAGCGAGGTCGGGTGTCACCCGGTGCGGCACTTAATGGTGTCACCCCCCAGAGGCGTAGCGACCCTTCCCGGGGACAAACTTTCAAACTTTCGATTTGCTATTTTTTGCCTTGGTGTCACCCCCCCCCCCCTAAATGGTGTCACCTGGTGCGGTCCGCACCCCCCGCCCCCCCCCCCCCTCGCTACACCCCTGCTCTACGTGATTATTAATGACCACTTCTACATCGATGTATTTGTGTACAGAGATTTTTTTAGCATTCTAATATAATTAATTGAACATATATTCTTCCTCAGTTTGCCTTTGTAATACCTTAGAGAATTTCAACCTCTTTTAAATGACCAGTTCTACATCGATATATTTGACAGAGATAGTTTTTTTATACATTAGGATACTAATATAATTAATTGAACATAAATTCTTCCTCAGTTGGCCATTGTAATACCCTAGAGATCATCAACCTCTACATGTATATTAATAACCAGTTCTTCATCGATGCTACCGTAGACGCGACAAACAAGGACGAAATCACGTGGCCTAGGGTGATAGATTTTGAGATACGAGCATCGGGATCCGACCACTTTACTAAGGTATTGTTTCAGTTCTTTAGATTTAGATTTTTTTTTCTACAGAAAGATTTTTCAAAGTCCGGTTTGTTCAGACCAAACAATTATTGCACTGAGGGAAGTCTGCCCCCCCCCCCCCCCCAAAGAGAGTCTACCCCCCTCTCCCCCCCCACCCCCACCCCCGAATGAAATGGAATTTAAATAGAGAATATATACTTTTAAAAGTGTTGTGACTTATTTAGGTCTTCCTTTTTAATAGTTTAATTTTATTAATATTTAAATGGTCTTGAGTTATCTTTTGTTAGACTAAGAAATTTTCCACCAGACTCATGTGATAGTATTCACAACTGTGTTCGTGTTACTCGTGTTTTGGCTCCATCCCCCAATGGTCATTGACATTAGTGTCAATATCCCATAATTTTAGGGTAATATAAAAAGGAGGAATTTTTCAGACACAAGACCCAGAGAGAACCCATGGCTCATAGCATTCATGTTGTGTAAGGCCGTAATTAACTTATGTTTCAGTAGTACTCAGGATTTGACTTTTCATAGTATAGGTTGTGTAAGTTAGATATTTTATCCAGTGTTAATTGTAGAAAGAAGTGTTTGTGATTTCCATGAAATTGTAAGTTGGGTTTTAAATTACTGTATAGTTTTTGCCTTGTAAATTTTTTATTATTTAGACTTGTTTGCTTTTTAGAAGGTTTTAGATTTAATTAAAAGTTCTATTAGTTTCAGAAGGTCTTTGTAGTTATATTTAACCCTAGACATTAGCTTTCGAGTCTACGAAGAGTTTTTGTTTCTAGTAATATTTTATAGTTTCATATAATTCATCAGTCTAGAAGCACCCCAAAAGAATCCGGGTGTTGCGTAATATTTATTAGTGGCAGAGTTACTTAACAGTGTCCGCCCCGCGGAAATTTTATGTTGCCCCCCCCCCCCCACCCACCACCCGAAAATTTCAAATTAATTTATTATTATTTATATGACTTGGTATTTTAGAACTAACGGACTGGTTATTTTATGCTAAATTGACTCAATACATAAAAATGTTGTGTTTTTTTATTCGAATTAACTCAAACGTTTTCTTTTATGAAAGTTTTAAAATATAAAAATGAATTTTATCTTTAATTATCTTCACGTTATTTCTTTTTTTTATAAATACTCAATCCTATTTTTTTTCTCTCCCTCCCTCCCCCAACCAACCCACCCCCTCTCCCCCAACAGAGGTGCACGGTGAATATAACAAATAGCGGATGTTACCCGGCATTTGACTATGTGATAGCAGCGTGCTACTGCGAATCTTTTTTCGACGATGTTTATCTTTTGCACTACGACGATTACCCACTGCCCACCGACTCAGGGGCGCCGGTTCGTTTAGTCTGGAGGAACAGCTCGTCCTATGCGATTTACAGCAGTGAGGCGCTGCTACCGGAGTTTCAAAGTGAGTAACAAATGTAACATCTATATATATATATATAATTCTCTTCTGGGAGACGATAGAAAACAAGCTGCAAGCGCGCCTTACAGTCCCCTCTCTTCCTCTCTATCGCTACCACCCCCACCCCCTCACATGGCCTGGTGAGCTGTGGTTCACGCTGTTTACATTTTACAATCGTAGTGCCGGGTTTGGTGACGGCTATTAGGAGCAGATAATTTAGTTTGAAACGATTTTAAACTTAGAGGAGGTAACTAAGAGGAGGCTTTTTTCACGTGGGGGGGGGGAGGGAGGTTTAGTGTTTTAAAGCAAATATTTTCAGTGGCAGCATTGGTACTGTCGAATTCACAAATTATGAATTACTGAAAAGTAGAAAAAACAACAACTAAATAGCGGCGTATGATACGCCGCGGGTCGGCTCATAACCTATATTTATGTATGTATGAATTTGAATGTTTGTAGGCCAATATATATATATATATATATATATATATATATATATATATATATATATATATATATATATATATATATATATATATATATACATTTTAATGTTTTATCCCTCTCTGTTACTTATCTTAATCTATCGACGATAGATAATTTTAAAAAAATGTTTTTTACTTTTTTTTTATGTTTTATCTGTCTCTGTAGCTTGTCTTTATCTTTCAATGATTAAAGTAATAGAAATATTATTTTTACTCTATACAGCGTCTGGTTGCGGTGGGCTCCATAGTTTAACTACCATCATCGTCTTGGCTATTGCAGTTGTGTTGAACAGTTAAACTTGGTTATTATAATTAGCTCCGGAAAGGAAATGTTTCAGCTCGGTTTTTTTTTTGTTCAATAAATAATTTTAAAATACAAAATAAAAATGTAATTATTTTCAAGGTTTCTTTGTGTGTTTAGAAATCAGCTTTTAAAAAAAAAAAACATTAAGACAATCTAAATGTTAGGAATGATTTATGTTAATATGAAAAGCCCTTAGGATTTATAGATAATTTTAAAATGCTTTTAAACGTGTGTTATTATATACAAATATAAACGGACCTTTGATGGTTTTTTTTGTATATCAGTATTAGGCAAGTGACTATACCAAGAAAATGTAACATGTCTATTTTATACAGTAGGACAAACAATTAATCCTTAATACAAGAAATAATTTAGGTTAAGTAGTGACGGTTAAATACTTAATCAAAAAGTAGTAAGTAATTAAAGGACCCTTTCCAACCTTACAGTTAAGGGGCAGGTGAAATAGAGTTCACATGTTATATTGACTTCAGCATATGAAGGGATCGTATAATCAGCAACATGCTCGGTCGCTTTTACTTCCCCTAAGTCAGGCACCCATCAGAGCTGAACGGGCTCAGGGACATTATACGGATTTGAGTTCGTTATTCGAGACGTCCAGGTAAGCAGTAAAACGCTCTGCCAAAAATTTTAAAAGTCAACAAAAGTAAAATAATAATAATAATAATAATAATAATAATAATAATAATAATAATAATAATAATAATAATAATAATAACAAAAATAATAACAACAATAACAATAACAATAACAACAACAACAGCAACAACAGCAACAGCAACAACGACAACGATAACGACAACGACAAAACAACAACAATAACAATAACAATAACAATAACAATAACAATAACAATAACAATAACATTAACAATTAATAACAACAATAATAATAATAATAATAATAATAACAATAATAATAAAAGTAACCTAAAAAAGAGTATGGTTTACAATGCACTTCAACACTTAACAGTCTGTTACCTGGACCGTGAATCCTATAGATCAATAGGTACCGTTCGAAGGAACAATAAATCAGTCGATGTTTTTGTCTCACATGATTGACAGGTTGTGAGACACACGAGGTTGTAGGCTACATACTGCGTGTAGGGGGACATTGTGTGTGTCAGGATATCTGTGCAATCTGAGTCTCTTATCTGTAAACTTATCTGACATGGCGGTAGTTAGACAAGGTAAAACGGCAAACATACATACGGCCTAAACACTCAAACGCACATATATATATATATATATATATATATATATATATATATATATATATATATATATATGTATGTGTGTGTGTGTGTGTGTGTGTGTGTGTGTGTGTGTGTGTGTAATTATATATGTATGTGTGTTTGTGCGTTCGTGAGAACATCCTTGTGTGGGGGTGTGTGCGTGCGTGTCTCTGTGTGCGTATGTCTCTCTCTCTGTTTATTGCGTGTGTGTGTGTCAGAGAGAGAGAGAGAGAGAGTCTGTGTGTGTGTGATATAGACACATGTAGGGGAGGGTGGGGCCAAAAGTCACATACTTCTCGGTTATAGTAGATCCTATTACAGTTACTCAATCCTTAAAGAACTGAAGAAGATGAAAATACTTTTGTAAGACAGATCGGACTAGTACATTGAACTTGATCATTTTATGTTTTCTGAGATAATAATGAAAAAAATGTGCTCTGATTACGGTTGATATTTTGTTCGCCCCATGAGATTATGCATTAACACAAGACAAAAAGAGAAAAGTTAGCCAAGTTAATACAGTTCACTCACGTTATCTAATTTTAATTCAACTGAAATTAATCAATACCGACGCCTTTTTTTCTAGCTTCAACAGCTAATGTCATCAATTCCTTGGTAAATTTACTCCGGTTTTTGTGCGAACAGTTTCGTCACAGATACAGACTACACCGACTGACACCAAATAAAGAAAACTATCCAACTTTTACTCAAAAAGTTTTGTGCATTTGAATCAGTAGCTTGTAATAGTTTCAAACATTTTGAAATATAAAACTGTGTGTGGTATGCATGTAATCTCGCATGAAAAAAAAACTAAAAATAAATCAATAGATTATGGCGTTTGTGAATAGAAAAAGTAATTGTTTAATCAAGAATTATCCTAATATAAAGACCTAAAACAACAAAACAAAAAACATAATATTCGAATGTTGGCTAAAATATTATATTTAATCAACACCTCATGGTAATCGACTTTCAATGTTTTTTTTAATTACAATAAATCCTATTTTGCATAATGGCAATTTTGAAAATGTGTGTTTGTTCGTGCGTGCGTGCGTGAGCTCATGCGTGTGTGGTTGTGGGGGAGGGGGGCGAAAAGCAGAAGTGAATAATATGCAATTCCCACTAAAACTCTTTTTAAAAACAAAACATTTCATAGGGAACAAGAAAAATCTTCTCATTAAATAAAACAACAAGCAATTATATTTTTTTTAAAAACGTAGTACCACTAAAGTAAAATAAGAGTTCACATTCCATATCTCCGTGTCTTGCAATGGATTCTGATTTGCAATCCATTCAGTGCTACAAACTGTGCAATGTTCGCCATTACACAATATCTAACCAATAGCGTTAAAAACCTTTTGTTACATTCGTGTTTCGCTCTTTTTTATTTCTCGGTAGAGCATGAATGTCAAACACCTGAAGTGCAAATGTTTAATTTATTTCACGTAACTTGAGCTTCAGCTAAGACAGGTGGGTTTTTGATGTGGCAGAGATCATATGGGTGAGGTGTCAATACAAGGTGAGGTAACAGTTGATCGTTAAATGGGTGTAACGTGGATGAAATGTTATACAGAAGGTAACAATCTGTTTCAGCTGATAGAATAGTAACAATGTCATACTGTTACTAGAGTGTTGTTTTTTTTATTTCGTAAGATTTTGTAATGCAATTGTTCGTTTCCCAAACAATCATGTTTTACAGTATTATGTTCTAATATTTCATGTCCTAAAGTCTCATGTCCTAAAGTCTCATGTCCTACGGTCTCCTGTCTTACAGACTCTTATCTTACAGTCTCAATGGCCTTTCGTCTCATGGTTCTAAATTCTCATGTCCTAAATTCTCATGTCCTAAATTCTCATGTCCTAAATTCTCATGTCCTACAGTCTCATGTTCTTAAGTCTCATATCCTAAAGTCTCATGTCCTACAGTCGAATATCTTACAACTTCATGCCCTACCTACAGTCTGATGTGTTTAAATCATGTCCTTCAGTCTCATGGCCTACTGCCTCATCTTCTACATCATCTTGTCCAGCAATCTAATGTCCTACAGTCATATATTGCACATTTTAATATTGTATATATATATACAATATATATATATATATACATATATATATATATATATATATATATATATATATATATATATATATATATATATATATATATATATATATTGTATATATTGTATATATTGTCTATATTGTATATATTGTATATATTGTATATATATATATATTTATATTTATATATATATATATATATATATATATATATATATATATATATATATATATATATATATATATATATATATATATATGTGTGTGTGTGTGTGTGTGTGTGTGTGTGTGTGTGTGTGTATACAAATATAAATATATCAATTGTCATATACCCTACATTTAATATTATATAATATATATATATATATATATATATATATATATATATATATATATATATATATATATATATATAGGCCTATATTTATATTGATATAATATATATATGCCTGCGTACGTATGTATGTATGTATGCATGAATGGATGTCCACATAAACATGAAAATATTTGCTAACATTTAACATGAAGGACACCAAAATAGATCCTCCCCAGCCATAAGATAATAAAAGTTCTTAAACATTTAAGATCGATAACAACCTCTGTTTAAAAAAAAAACCTCGCTGTTTTTCCCGAGTGGGCACACGATCCGCATTGTCAAGTAATTTACTTCCTTGTTGGACGGTAGGGATCAGAAGATTACACAAATTGTACCGAGAACGTCCTAGAAGCGTCGTGTTGTGTTGAGGGCTGTTGAAAGACACTTCACATGTTTGGATTTATCTTGGCTTGAAATAACGTTAGAGAAGAGAGTATTGCTGTGCGTGTATTGAATGCAGGGGGTATACTTGGTACAGGTTTTCTATGAGCGTTATAGGGAAGGATATATTTATTTTATTTTTACACAGTTATAAGGTAAGCTTTTGTTTTAACTTCCTGTTACATAAGATTAAGATTCTTTTCACATATCGCTGATTGGATGGTGTTGTATCAGTTTATAATAAGTATAAATATTAAAATATAGACTAATGTAAATGTTAATAATTAATGATTTGGGTTTATAAATAAAGTTATATATATATATATATATATATATATATATATATATATATATATATATATATATATATATATATATATATATATATATACATATACATATATATATATATATATATTATACACACATATATATGTATCTTTGTTTATATATATATATATATATATATATATATATATATATATATATATAAACTACAGCAATAAAACAAATGTAAATATATGTATCTAAATACGCTGCTATATATGTATATAGGTATATATATATATATATATATATCAAAATTTTGATTTGTTTGTAGCCCCTAAATAACTTCCAGCTGAGCTGTGTGTAATGCATGAATGTACAGATGTCCAAATAAGATGATAAATGACGTCACTCTGTGCTAGCCTGTTACCTCTCCTGCTAGTTTGTGTGGGCTTGTTGGGTAGGTTATCTGGCAACTTTAGGATTTGGATTAACAGATGGTTCATTTATCTGGTAACTTTAGGATTTGGATTTGGTTCGCTTATCTTGCTACTTTAGGATTTGGTCTTATGGCTCGATAGGTTATCTGGCAACTTTGGGATTTAGATTAATACATGGTTAGTTTATCAGGCAACTTTAGGATTTGGATTAACAGATGGTTAGGTTATCTGGCTACTTTAGGATTTGGTCTTTTTGCTAGTTAGATTATCTGGCAACTTTAGAATTCGTTCTTGTGGCTGGATCAATTTTAGGATTTGGTCTCCTGGCTTGGTTGGTTATATGGCAACTTATGTATTTTGATTAATGGATTGTTAGGTTATCCGTGTGTGGGGTGGGTGTGTTTGTGTGTGTACTGCCATTTAAACTACTCCACACTCCACACACAGAGACACGAGCATGTGACCCTGCTCAAGAATTCACCACAGTCACGTTCAACTGCACCGACACGACTCCCTCGAACGATCTGCACTGGACATTCGACACGACCCCCGTCTCCACGTGCACCAACGCCACCAGCAGCACCTGCAGGAACCAGACCAGCATCGTGTACAACACGACCAGGGCTAACGGTTTCAGTACCTTGACCATCGTGAACGTCACGAGATCTCACGTGGGCGTCTGGAACTGCTCATACTTGCAGACACCAGCTTTATTTTCCTGCCCACTTAAACTCTTTTGTAAGTTTATTTTTCATTTATCTTGTTCGGGCTGAGTATCTAAAACACATCAACGAGTTGACAAGAATCCTTCTATCATTATTGTTGACATGGATAAATTTGTTTTTGTTTGTTTTTTGTCTATTCTTCCATTATTACCGATAACTGTTAAACTTAAGTTTGAAAAAGTGTTTAAAATTTAATATTTGAAAAATCAATGGTATAAAAATGGCAATAGCAGAGAATTTGATAAATTTTTTTTGCGTTTAAGTCTACATTTCTATTTATTTTCAATGAGCCTAAATTATAACCTCAACTTTCACTTTCGTAATACAAACGATGATTGACTGCAGAGAAATTCTGTGATCGATCTTCTTTAAAAACTACTTTTCAGTTATATTTACTAAAAACTTTGCCGATATAATTTTATAAAAATTATACTTTTTAAAACAACATGAACCACTTACGCCATAATTATTACATTTACTGTAACAAAATTAAAACAACCAAATTGTTTTTTTTTTTTTTTTTTTTTTTTTTTTTTTTTGTCTTTTGTAAAAAACTTTTCAGTTTTCAGAAATTTCTACAAACATCCAATACATCAAATTTTTTGTAAAATGTGACCAAAAAAGCAATCAGATTTTTATAACCATGTTTACTTTAATAGCTTCGTTACGTGAATTTGGTTTGGTACATTTGACTAATCCGCTTCTTCAAATATCCTCACATGTATGCTTAGTTTCATTACACTTTTTATAATAAGCTTAGAAAAACTTAACATTACCGAAATGTAAGTTTAAGATGGTGGCAAAGAAAAAGGGCAGCAAAAAAATGTTCACTTAATTTTTTGTGCGTAAAATTATATGTGTGCGTTTTTCCGTGTGCGCGCTTTTTTTGCGTGCATTTATCATTTTATGAAATCGTTTTAATCATAGTAATATTCATATCAAGTTTGTTTTAGAACAAATTACTATCATTACAATTAGCGTTGCTTTGTTAACCTATGATTACCATTACAAGTATAGCTGATTTGTTAATCTAAGATAACCATTACATTGAATTACAAGTAGAGTTGATTTGTTAACCAATTATTACAATTGCTGTGTTAACTGACAAAAACCGGTATACCTGGCGTTGTACTTGCAGCCCCGCCTGTGGTGCCAGTGTGTACCAAACCCAGACTAGTCAACTATGGCAGCTACCAGAACATTAAAGTTGTCTGTACAGCCAGCAAAGTCTATCCGCAGGCCGATTGTCGCTTCCACATGAAGCAGCCAGGGGAGGTAAGTGATGATCTTAAATAAAATCACCAGGGGAGGTAAGTGGTGATCTTAAATAAAATCACCAGGGGAGGTAAGTGATTATCTTTAATCACCAGGGCAGGTAAGTGATGATCTTAAATAATTTCAACAGGGGAGGTAAGTGGTGATCTTAAATAAAATCACCAGGGGAGGTAAGTGATGATCTTAAATAAAATCACCAGGGGAGGTAAGTGGTGATCTTAAATAAAATCACCAGGGGAGGTAAGTGATTATCTTTAATCACCAGGGCAGGTAAGTGATGATCTTAAATAATTTCAACAGGGGAGGTAAGGGATGATCTTAAATAAAATCACCAGGGGTGTTAAAATAAGTAAGGGAGGTGAGTATTATTAACAAGTTTTTAAAATAAGCATGGGAGGTAAGTTATGACAGTAAATACAATCACCAGGGTTTGTAAGTACTAATTGTAAGTAAAAAAATAACAAAGGGAGGTACATTTTTATAGTAAATAAAAAACCACGGGAAAAGACCTCGGATTGTAAATTAAGTAACCAGAGAGTTTAGTACTGATTTTTAAATAAAATATGGGAGGTAAGTTATGATTATAAATTTTAATAAGGGAGGTAAGTTCTGATTGTGAATAACATATGGGAAGTAAGTTCTGATTATAATTTTAAAAAGGGAGATAATCTTTTATTTTGAATAAAATAGTGGAGGTAAGGGGTGGTGATGTTGTTTTTTTTCTAATTGGGATGAGGTGGATCTGTTAGTGAATGAAATAGCTACGGAATATACGTGCATACATTATAGAAACATCAGGCTTACGTCTAACTGAAACAGCTGGATGTTGTAGGTACAAGATTAACTATGGCTAATCAAGGCGCTAAAATAAAAACATATTCTATTTTACTTACATCAAATAACATGCAAATCTACACTTAAGTAAAAAAGTAAAGAATCTTCTTTAGACCTGGCGATCCACTGGGCAGATGAAGTGGAGTTTTATGTCTCTTGACCTCGATATTTGAAGGAAAGGTGTGATCAGCACTTTACTTTCCCTAACACGAGTTATGCACTCAGTACACCGGGATTCGAACTCGAGACTTATGGTTTATCAACCTAGCGCTCTACCCATTACGCCTTACCCTTAAATGCAACAAATAATTACAGCTTAGCAATATTATTGATTAATTTAATTTGTCTAGACTTCCCCATGCATCTTTGTTAACATGGCCCCTGCCTAATACTAAAACCTCTTAAATGTTACAAGAAAGCCTGTTGTGTTTTATTTTTAGTCTTGCTTTTATCTATCTGGCCTATATATTCTTGTCTTGACAGTTAAATGGGCAAACGTTACATAGCCCAGTTTACAGTGACTTTCTTTGTAAATAAATGGGTTGATAATGGTATACATACACTTCCTTGTAGATAAGTCGTTATCTACCTCAGTAGATATAGACTATTTTAATACAGTAACCCTATCTCATCGAAATAGCTAAGAGATTTTTTCTATAAAGTACGATGAGTGACTACTATGAAATATTACTTCACCAACAAGTGAATTATTTTGGAAGTACAGGAAAAGAAAATTAAAAGGGTTTTTTTCACTGTTGATATCGATCCCTGGTTGGTAATTTAGTGTTGCTGGTATGGGTCAATCATAAACGACGTTACGCTTTTTTAAAACAATATTAGCTCCCCACTACCCCCAGAGCAGCACATTGCAGAGGCGTTACGACCCTTCCCAGCGCCCGGGGACAAACTTTCAATTTGGCACCCCCCCCCTCAAACTTTCCAGTTGCAACCCCCCCCCCTCAAACTTTTCATTTGTTCCCCCCCCCCCCCCCCCAATATATTTTTTTATATTTATCATTCAAAACTGCAGCTAAAATGAGATTTTAATTTTTTTTTTACAACCCATTTTGGCACCCCCTAAGGACGGCGCCCGGGGACATATGTACCCCTTGCCTCCCCCCCCCCATCGCTACGCCTCTGGCAAATTGTCCCAAAAAATCCGTACACCGTCCTAAAATTACGTCATATTTCAGCCTGCAACACATCCCACCCCCTTGTAGTTTTTGTAGTAAATTTCTTTGAAAACATTTACTGAGCTTAGTCAACATTGAGTATTTTAATCAATATCTATTACAATTTCCTAAAAAGGATTTTTTTTAATTGGAAAATAACGGCCGAAATTCAGTTTTTAACCTTACTTAAAATCTGTCGATCAACACATAAACTTTTATTATTTTAGCTAAAGAAAATGTGTGTATCTTTTTCCGTATTTTTGTGCATTATAAGCTCGTTTTTATTAAGGTTTTTTTAACGGATGTATTTTCTTTCTGTTGAAATGCCCTTGTGTTTTCCAGTCCAACTTTAGCATAGCCACGGGGTCGAAGGTGGAATCGAACAAAACCCAGTCAGATCCTGAGTATTACGCTACCACCTGCACTCTCGAGGTCAAATGGAACACGACACTTAACGGAAACTGGTCGTTTTTTGTCCAGATGTGGCCTAACATCACAGCCCCTACCAACGTCAAAATGAATAGCAGTGTCGAGAGCATTGAGCTAGGTGATTACTTTTGTTAGAAGTAATACAATTTTTCGGTAAAACTGTTGTTGTTGTTGGTAAAACTATTTATCTTTCAAGTTTAAAGAAAATGAACATTTTGTTTTAGGTAAAAGTTTCTAAAACATTTGTTATAGGCATAAGTTAACTTGTAGTAAAAGTTTTTAATTTGTTGGTACAATTATTGCTTATCATTTTTTTTTTAAATACAGCTTTAATTAGTGTTTATAAGGTATGTTTTGAGCATTTTTTGGTTACGTGTGGGTATTAAATGTAGGCTTACTGGAATATTATTTTGTCAGAGTTTTTAGAATAATGCTACAATAGTCCTATTTTTATTTATTTTTTTGTTTTTGTTTAAAATGTGGCGGCATTACTATTATTATTTGACATTGTAAGGTTTAAAAGGTTTGAAAGTATAAGCATAATTTTTATTTAATTCAAGTACTAGAAAAGTTGGATAAAATTTTTGGCTTGAAATGTTGGCTTGAAACTATCGACACAAGTATGAAATTATTAGATCCTTTTGTGCACTTATTGTGCTAGTGAAAGTTTTAAATTTATTTGTTAAATAATTTTTTTAAATAAATAAATATATGCCTTTCTAATCTAATCTATGCAGACCCAGTTTTACCGGAAGTCAGGCTCAATAAAAACTGTTTTGATGGCAAAGTGATGCAGCACTACCTACCGTATAAAAAGATCAACTGCACGTGCGAGTTGGCCACCCCCGGACTACCCCCTGGTCAGGCCTATTGGGTGGACAGCTCCAGAAACTGGACCCAGGATTCCTCACCGAATTTAATTATTTCTTACACACAAGGTTAGGCTCCAATAACACTGCCTTCAATTTACCACATTTTTTGTATAATGGATGGGTGTTAAGAAAATATACCATTACACTTTTCGCGTTGTTGTTTTTTTTTTATTTATTTAAATTATATGTTATCGAATTTTTTTTTAATACATTATTTTTGTATTTGTAATAATTTGACAACATATATCTGGACATTGAATTGATCGCTAAATATTGTCATTGTTAAATGGTGTTTGACGATTTTAACGACCAAATCAACCTAGCTTGCCAAAAATATATATTGTGTTATATCCCCTTTCGCATTAGATAAATATTTTTTCATAGGTAGACATGTAGTAAAATATTCACTAAACATATTACGAAACAATTTTTCATAGTCGTGTTTGGGCTAGGCAAATAGAAGCAATTTTAACTCTTCTTCTTCTTCGTTCTTAATTATTAGTGTTGAAGGTGGTCGAGATTTATCTGCCAGTGGGTTTGAACTCGAGACTTTGTTCGAAGTTATCAACCATGTGCTTTTTGCCGACTCGACCACGCCTCCAACACAATTAAGCGTTACGTGTCAACTGGTTTTGCGCCATTGAGGCCATTGACTCCGATTTCAGCCTGCTTTTCTTTTTGGATTTGCTTCCATAGCCTTTGTCCTACCAAGAACAAACTACAAGGCAGCAGTTGTTTAATTTTGGAGTTGTCTCTCCTAGAAGAGTGGCTGTCCCCAGCTAACGAGCCTCATCTGCCCGAGGGTTCGAACTCGAGACTTTTCGGTTTAGCAACCATGAGCTTTACCGACTCGACCACGCCGACCCCGCAATTTTAACGTTATATGGGGTTACGGCTTATGAAAATGTAATATCAGAAACTGTTTTTTGTATTTATTTTGAGTAAACAACGTTTTTCCCTTATAAACTCTTTTTCTCACAGACAACAGAACGTTAGTGTGTGCTTCTAGGTCTGTGTTGGGAAATGGAAAAAACGTCACGTTTTCACCTAAATTTGCAGGTATGTACATGGTCAACTCACTTTTACTAGATCTAAACTAAAAATCAAACCACTCAAATTTTCAACAAGGTTGATGGATATTTATATCATGCATGAAAGACTCGTGCTTTAAGTATCAGTAAACAGAGAACAGCATTCTTCTTTTTTTTCTTCGCCTATTCAACCCGCTCTTGGTGCGGCGTGGTCTAACGTTAGTTAGGTACCCATCAGAGCTAGGTGGACTTAGTGACATTCTACTGACCTGGAACTGGATTCGAAATCAAGACTTTTGGGTTAGCAGTCTAACTCTCTACCGCTAGGCCACGCCGTACCATAATCAATGCAATACCGAAGTTATTATCTTTTCCCCCAATATAAAGTCAGGTACTCTTTAGAGCTGGGTATTCTCAGTCACGTCTTTGATACTTTCAAATAAAAAAACAATCATTCGCACATCAGCGCCACCCCATTATTTCAAACACCACACTGTTCAAATCTCTCCATCACAGTCCCAGCCGAGGTGGTCAAGTTCACAGCCAATGACGTCACCATCCTTGAGGTGGACAACGGCACCGAGGTCACGTTCCAGTGTGACGTCAGCAGCGAGCCACCGGGCAGCCTCAGCATCAGACACGAGGGCACCAACGGCACCATCACCGACAGGGGCAGGCAACCCTTGTACTGTCAGGATATAGGGATGTATGTCTGCGAGGCGTGGAACAGCATTATTCCCCAGGTGTTGATACGGCGATACGTGCAAGTCTACGTCCTGTGTAAGTGCTCTTTGTATTTGATCCAATCCGCTTAAGCATTCTTGGAGCAGGTGAAGTAGAGCTCATCTAATTTATTTACCTCGATGAAGGGATTAGCACTATACCGAGCCACTTTTTACTTTCCCTAACGTGAGTCAGGTACCCTTCAGAGCTGGGTGGACTCAGGGACGTTGTACGGACTCGAGTTATGGATCTGAATATTCGAGACATTTGGGTTAGCTATAGAACGCTCTACCATTTTACCACACCCTCATAAACAAAACCCCCACAATATCCTGGGTGTTAGCTCTATTCGTCTCCTTAATAGTGATCGATAATAGTCGAGCTAAACGTATTCGTTATAATGTCTCAATCCCTGCAGCCAATTGTTTGATTAATCATATTTCTAATCTTATCCTTAAAAATTTCCTTAATTGTATTCTTAACCCCTGATCAATTTTTTTTTATCTATCGCTTATGCAATCCCCAAAGATATCTCTATGCTTATCCCTAAATATTTTCTCTATACTAATCCCGATTTTTTTTAAAATCCATACCCCCATCACTTCAATAATCCTGGTGATAATCTTAAGTCTAAATATCCTACCACATGCTTAATTCTAATCCTATCCAACAAGGTGAACCCACACTTGATCAAGACAACTCCCGCACCGGTCAACTCACTCGGAGAGTCGGACACAACGCCACCGTACAGTTCTGTATCACCGGCTACCCCCCTCCTTCCGGGTACAAGATCCTCAAACCCCAACACCTCGCCAACATTACCACCACCATGACCAACCTCAGTCAATCGTATTCTGACAGTTTTCTGTATACTGTGGTCTACATCCCTATTAGAATAAACGCTGGGTGTATTAATTTTACTATCTACAACATTCAAGAAAGAGACTTTGCAAATTACTCACTCATTATTTACAACGACGCATTGGAAGAAGTGACGTACACTTTTGAAATAATAAAAGGTAAATAATAGCATGCTATAAAATATATTTATAAATGTATAATATTGAAAAAAAATAATAGAATAATAAACGTTAAAAAATAACATTAAACTATTAAATTGTCAATTATTTACATAAGTTTTCAAAATTATGTTTAATTCAATTGAAAAAATAAACGAACTGAAATTAAATAAAAGGAAATCGAAACAAAATAAAAATCTTCATTTAAAAATAATGTTTATTCTATAAAGCAATAAATTGGTAAATTAATATGGCGTATTAATCTATAATGAAAATGATATCACTACCGCTATTTTATTACGTTCCAACAGAATATTTTTTACTAAACCATTAGAATAGGCCTACCTGTAGGAAATTTTTATTTTAAAAAGTATAATTAGGATTGCACAATGCTTGAGGGTAATTTATTTTTATCTTTTCTCTAATTATACAAATGAAGTAAAAAAAATATTTACTATTTTGAAGTATATTGAACTATCTCAAGAATGTTTTATTTTCTCTCTCGCATTGTTCAAGAAAAGAGAGAGACTGAGTCAAGTGACGCCGGAGCGATAGCTGGAGGGGTTATAGCAGCCCTTGTCATCATCGTTTTAATTGTTGTCTTGGTCTTACATTTAAGAAGACGAGGTAAGTTTTTTTATATGTTTTGAATATAGCTAATGTTAAATTTAATTTTAAATATTAAAACTAACATGTTCGATGGGGCAAGTGTCTTGGGTGTCTCTAACAAATTTATCGTAACTAAAATCTGTTCAACTCGACTTAGATTTTAGTGAAAACCCGATGTTGTTTACAAAATATTTTATCTGCGTTTTGAAATCAATGCTAATAGTATATTAACAAAACTTATTTTGATTACAGGTGTAAAACTCAATTGTAAAAAAATAAGGTTAGTGTTTTTTTTCATGATCATTAAATCTTTATTTCAAATAAAGCGACAGTCCGCTCCGTATAACTTTCTAGAATTTCCGTATATAATAATAAAGGTTGGATGGTACTTCCAGTGGAATCGGGCCATAGAAATTGTAATTTTGTGACAAACCTCATCCGTTTATCGAGAAAAAAAAAGCACAAAGAGACTAAAAGTTTTCAGAAACGGAAATTGATAGAAATGAAGTACAGAGAATCTCATGCTTATGTTAAAACTTTCTTCCGCCTTACTGAAATAGTACTCAAGTTATTGTAGCTTATTTATACATACTGACAGACAAATGCAGTAAAAATTGCAAAAATTCTTAATTTAGAAGTTTCGCACAATTACAATAATTTATAATATACTTTATATACGAGAAAATAAAGCAAAGTATGGGTATATAAATATATCTATATATAGATAAATAGATAAATGTATATATATATATATATATATATATATATATATATATATATATATATATATATATATATATATTATATATATATATATATATATATATATATATATATATATATATATATATATATATATATATATATATATACTCACAAGGCGTATTTTAGTGTTAGCTTTTCCCATTTCAGTTTCTTCAGATCTGCTCGCAAGAATAACAGAAACAGAGGTAATGAGTTACAATTATATTTTTAGTTATTTGTTTTAGCTACATCAGCAATGGTTGGGCCTTATCTGTTAGTACATTGTTTTTAATGTTTGTGTGTAACTGTGTCAGGGGCGGAACTACCATACCGCCAGACCCCGCAATGCGGGGGGGGCCAGGACGTTTAGGGGCCCAGTTCCGACCAAAAAACAATGCATTTTTTTTTCAAAAATTATGTTTTTCATACATCTTGAAAGTGGTTTTATAAAAAAAAAAAACAACAGGTCTACTATAGCAGAGATTGTTGTGTAGAAAAATAATTTAAAATCTACAAGAGCTATAGTTTGAAAGGTAGGTAAACATTCACACTACTTCCATGGCTTACTGCCCTTCTTTAAAATAGGGATGCCCACAAAGCTCATTTAAATAGTTTTGTACTATGTATATTAAAAAGCAATTAATTCTCTGAATTGTTACTTAAATAAGACGTACTATACAATAGTATAGATATAAAAATCAATGTTTTCAAAATTGATATTATAAAAGCCAAAAATGAAAAAAATAAACATAACGCGAGAAACCATTCACGAATCAAGCTAACGTCTTTATATATTTTTGACCAGCAAATTCATAATTCAGTAAACACACCTGATTGGTTTAGACTAAATTTTTTCTGGTTTGTTCTCTCAAAATGGTTATATATTGCAATAAAATAGACTAAATTCCTCAGTTTGGATATAGATTATATATTTATATATATATATATATATATATATATATATATATATATATATATATATATATATATATATATATATATATATATATATATATAGGGGGCCCTAATTTTTTCTTTGCGGGGGAGCCTTTTTTTTCTAGTTCCGCCACTGAACTGTGTCTGTGTTTATTTGCGTCAGTGTGTATGTGTCTGTGTGTGTGTGTGAATTACTAATTATTCTTTAATGTTCGAATATAATGGACACTATCTTGTAGATGTAGGATTTGTCTGTACATTCTACGGCTTTTGTTCTCTAATGCTCTACTTATAATCAATCAATAACGCTCTCCATACCATCCGCTTACTTACTTTATTATCACTCAATAGCTGTTTTAAACCATCGATGTAGTTTCTAAGCAAAATCAATTCTCTGATAGATGTGACTAGCAATGTGTACGGCAACGATGCTGTAGTGAAAGCGGTTGATAAAAGGGACGATGAAGCCGGCGTTAAAAGAGACGTTCAGGCTGAGAGGAAGAAAAAAGCCGGCAAACAAAAAGAAAAACCGGCGGAGAAAACGAAAAAAGAAACACAGGAAACATATGATAGTATGGAGATCGGGCCGGTATACGGTGAGATTTAAATTTTAAAAAAATAATGTTACGCAGTCATAAAGTGGTTTTGTTCAAACCAACAACCGGCAATACAAGTAAGTTACACTTAAAGAACCTGACGGTCTATGTGGCAAGTTAGGTGGAGTTCATGTGTTTTGTGACATCGGCATTCGATGCGATAGTTTGGTCAGTATTATGCCAGGACAACAGGCAATGTTCAATGCAAAACAAATGATATGTTAAACACAATCATTAGTTATATTTTGATATTAAATTAAATGTTACAAAGTGAACAACCTAGCCATTAAAAGAAAATTTGGCTGTGCGATAGTTCATTAGATGTAATACATTTCATTTCCTTGATAAAACTAAGTCAAATTGCATATATATATATATATATATATATATATATATATATATATATATATATATATATATATATATATATATATATATATATATAACATATGTATATTTTTCAGAAAGAGATTATGAGGCGATGGCTCAACCTGAAGTCGATACAGTTTATCAAAATTAACATCAGTATGTGTGGGGATTGTGTAAAAGTGTATCATATCGAAATTTGGCCATTATTTAATCACACAAGTCATGTAAATAAAAATTACACTCTACATACTTTACTGATTTATAATACATTTCATTTTTTTTATATTTTGTATTTGGTATTGTGTGCGTAACGTAATCATCTCCAATATATTTTTATGATTTTTACTTCCAGTACACATCTAGAGAGAATAGAGATATATTTTTTAACTATTTTTTTTAGTTATATTGAGCTAGTGTCTGTGACACCGCTTAATGAACAGAACTTCCACGAAACTTAAACAAGAGGATTTCTTTTGTTTATGCTCGGTGTTTCTTCCAGACTTTTCTCTACGGTGGGGGGGGGCTCTTGAAATTTGGGGAGGGGTGGACTAAAAGAGATGCCTGGAAGAAACTCTGTTTGTACTACGGTTACCACAACATGAATAATAATCCCAGACTTTTGACTTGAACTGAAATCACCTAACCCTAACAGCTTGATAATGCGGCATTTAGTCTTTGGTGTGAGCGCTTGAATTTCCCCTGAGCGGCAGAACAATGTGTATAAAAGTTGTCCGTTTATGAGAAAATCCGCTGTAGTCTATTAAAATTACATTTTAAAATTCAAAAGTGTGATATTACACTTTCTGACCTTCCTCTTTTCTTCCTAGTCACAAAAGGTCACAAACTTTCGAACCCTCCCCCTCCTACCTTCTATTAGTTTGTCATCGTTTATGGACAACCCCGATATACGGACATCATCAAGGCATGTCCTTTTTTCACTTATAATAGAAATCCTCAATCTATTCGAGCGAAAAGTAGGTTAACTCAACATTTTTAACTAACAAAGAAGAATGAATTCCTTACACTTATCCAGACCTAGAAAGGCTCCACAAACTAGCTTAATATATTGTTTGTCAGATAATTACACGAGAATTTTCAGAGTAGCTGCAAAATTTAACTATGGCACAAAACATACATAAGAGGAATTACAATGGGGTTCTAAAAATTCTATCTAAACTGCATAACATTTTTTTATGTTTAATCATAAGTATCGTATTATGTTAGGGGTCGTCCATAAATGACGTCACATTCGTAGGGGGGAGGGGGGGGTCGGTAATTTTGTGACGATGAGTGATGAGGGGGAGGGGGGGTCAGATGGTGCGACGTCCACTTTTGCATTATAAAAGAGAAATGTTAGAAAACTAATTTTAGCCGTTATTTCGCGTTTTAGAAAACTGTTTTAATAAATTGTAATAGGAATTGATTAAAATACTCTTTTTTGATAGATTTCAGACAAGATTTTAGAACAATATCGATGTTTTAAGAAAAATTCAACTGCAATTTTGAGGGGGATTGTATGCTAAGATGTGACGTCATTTTAGTGGGGGGGGGGTTCTGGCTTTTTGTGACGACGTGTGACGGAGGAGAGGGGGTAGGTGAAAATCGTCAAATAAAGCGTGACGTCATTTATGGATGACCCCCTTATACTGATCTTGAGGGGTACTTCGATGCATGAGTCCATCGTAAGACACAACATGTATGTTGGAGCTATATTTTGTATGATTTTTCTCTATGTTGTAGCGATACATTTAGTAACAGCCTCCTGACTGAGGTAACACGTGCAATGAAGTCTCTATCAGTATGTCCAGTGGCGTAGCGAGGGGAGGAGGTGCGGAACGCACCGGGTGACACCATTTAGAGAGGTGACAAAGGCAAAAAATAGCAAAATATATAGAGAAAAATGATGATTCCACTTAATTAAGTGATTAAGTCGAGTGTTAATAGTCTTTTAAGAGCAAATTTGACAAATCCCGACAAGGGTCGAGGGGGGGTGCAAATTGAAAATTTGAGGGGGGGGGGGGTGCATATCGAAAATTGAAAGTTTGTCTCCTGGCGCCGGGAAGGGTCGCTACGCTTCTGGGGGGTGACACCGGGTGACACCCGACCTCGCTACGCCACTGAGTATGTCGATGTGTTTAGTTTATTTTTTATATTCTTAATTTACTCTTATTTCTGTAAAGTATTTGGTCTATTGTTATTCTTGTGTTCGTTACTCTGTGATTTGTATTAATTAATTAATTTGATAATTTGAAAACCGGAAGTTATACTTTACTAGATTTCTGTTTTCTAAAATTCAGATAATTTGGATACCGTTTTAATTAGATAAACGAAATTTTAAACATAGTTATAAAATTGTATTCTCTTGATTATATCAAATGTTGAATGATTTCCGGTGACTGAAAAAGTACTTTACGCTATTTCCGATTTCTCAAAGCAGATCACTTCTGCCAGACGATTTCTTTCAGAAATTACAATTAGATCAAGATTTGATGACAATGCACGGTGACATAAACTGTGACTAAATTAGTTTTTTTTTATTAATCAATGTTTAATCAATGTTTTCTTCATAAAGTTTTATTTTGCCGCTTTAATATACATATTGTTCGCGTTCATTTTGTTGCTCAATTCCTTTTTTACGCGATTCTTTTCTATTTTAAAATTTAATATACGAAAAAGTTTAGGTGCGATATGCATAGTCATTTCACAAACATTGCGACTGTTATTTCTTGATAGACATGTAAAATATACAAAACATGTGTTTGTGCCCATATTTCATGTTAATGTGTTACTATATTTTAATTTACTTTGACTAGCAGATTATTCAATTTTTTACTGCTTCAGATATACATTAATTTAATCTTTGAACATCATTTTATTTACTTTGACCAAATTCTATCGATTGTATTTTTTTAATCGTTAATATGTATATGTGTAAATAAATATATTTTTAAAATAATTGTGTTTTGTTAGTTACTGACGTAGATTTCAAGGTTTACACTCCAAGTTTCTAGTTAGCACCGTTTCTAATCCATTGGGTAATGAAGGCTAATCAGTAGCGTACAGGAGTAAGAAGAACAATCGTTATAGAATTTAGTAGCATATATTATCATCACATTGAATTAATACATTCGATAGCACATCAGATGCTGAGGATAATTAAAAGATACGAGCCTACCCGTGGCGTATCATATGCCGCTATTTAGTTGTTTTATTTTCTACTTTTCAGTAATTCATAATTTGTGAATTCGACAGTACCAATGCTGCCACTGAAAATATTTGCTTTAAAACACTAACAACCCCCCCCCCCCCCCGTGAAAGCAGCCTCCTCTTAGTTACCTCCCCTACGTTTAAAATCGTTTCAAACTAAATTAGCTGCCTCAATAGCCATCACTAAACCTGGCTCTACGATTGTAAACATTAAGCGTGAACCACAGCTCACCAGACCATTTGAGGTGTGGGTGGTAGGGATATACCTAGAGAGGAAGAGAGAGGGCTGCTAGGCGCGCTTACAGCTTGGTGTTTTCTATGGTATCCAAGAAGAGAATTATATATATATAGATAGTTATTTAGGTAGCAAAAAGACCTTTAGATTTACTTACATATTTTACCATATTGCGTAATTTTATATATATATATATATATATATATATATATATATATATATATATATATATATATATATATATACATATATATAACCATATACACACATGTATACACACATATATATAGGCATATATATATATATATAAATAACAATACACAACACACACATATATATACATATATATATATATATATATATATATATATATATATATATATATATATATATATATAAGGATATAAATATATTTATTTATATATGTTGTGTGTGTGTCAGGGTGTGTGTGTGCGTGCTCATATTTCCTTTTTGCGCTGGATTATTAAGTACACAGCTGATGTAATCATATTGCAGTCATTGATAAACGTTTTTGCATCGACCAACAAAAATAAGTTTTAGAGTGCGGTGAGGATGGGCGAGTCGGAACAACGCGCTTAGAAAGCGCAGAGCAGTTTTTAGTCAGGAAACTGTCAAGTCACGCCTAGTCAGCTTTTCATCTCCCATTCCTGGCTGGGCTAGGGGAATATATCGTGTCACTTACCAAAGAGGAGGAGATATGAATCTATTGGTGCATGGGCGGATGTACGGCGAACTTATCTAACAATGTGGGTTAAATTTGTAACGACTTTTTTTTTCGATTTGGTTTGTAGTGTGCTATGTAAGATTTAGCGTAGGACGCGTATTTTTTTTTCTCGTTACTGTAGAAATAAATCTGACCTCTCAGTGGTTGCCAGGGATTCTCTGAGACATCACTTCGGGTGGGGGAGGGGGGGGGGAGTAGTGCCCTCCTGGCGCACGTCACCTCAGTTCTCATTCTCACATTTTAAATATGACTACTAGAATTTTACATATTATTTTTTTCACGTTAAATAGGTTAAATTACTTTTTACTAAACAATAACACTGAGCTTTTGATATAAAAGGTCGGGGTTGTATCAAAAGTAGGCAGCGATGGTCTCATTAATAATTAATATATATATATATATATATATATATATATATATATATATATATATATATATATATATATATATATATATATATATATGTGTGTATTTGTGTGTGTGCGTGCGTGAATGTGTGTGTGTGTGCGCGCACGTGTGTGGATGTGTGTGTGTGTGTGTGTGTGTACCGAGCCACGAGAAGAACAAAACATCAACCTACATTGAGCAATGCATTAACAAACCCTTATCTCATATTTAAATCTAATTTAAATACGATTTAGTGGGATGAGGAAGAAAATTATATTTTTTAAATTAATTTCCAATGTCGTTTTGTGTGGTCTACTTGGCATCGTGTATAAATATATAAAAACACCAGACTGACTTTCGCAACGGTGCCAGCCACTATGGAAATAAGAATAGCGTTAGCACGGTGTTTGTCTTTGTGCGTTGTGTTTGTTACAATAGGTAAATAAAACAATTTTAACTTCTAAATCCAATATCAACGTATTTTTATTTTTTTTAACTAATATAAGATGAACAATACTTAAATAAAATGTATGTGAATTTGTTTTGTTCTAATTTTTACAGGAGTCTCGAAGTCAAGTCATGTAGGTGAGTTGACTGTATCGTATTCACACACTTAGAGAGACAAATAAACAAGATTGCAAAAAAAAATGTTTGACTAAAGAAAGTGTAATACGTCAAGCTTTTTATTATTTCTCATGGTTATAATACTTCTATATTGGGGTCGTCCATAAATGACGTCACACTCGTAAGAGGGAGGGGAGTCCGTAATTTTGTGACGGTGTGTGACGAGAGGACGGGTTGGGGTTCAGATGGTGTGACGTCCACTTTTGCATTATAAAAAAGCAATGTTAGAAAACGAGTTTTAGCC